CTGCACACAGACACACTGCACACAGACACACTGCACACAGACACATACACACACAGACACACTGTCACACAGACACACTGCACACAGACACACTGCACACAGACACACTGCACGCAGACACACTGCACACATACACATACACACACAGACACACTGCACACATACACACTCTCACACACAGACACACTGCACACAGACACACTGCACACAGACACACTGCAGACAGACACACTGTCACACAGACACATACACACTCTCGCACACATACACACTGCACACAGACACATACACACTCTCACACACAGACACACTGCACACAGACACACAGACACACTGCACACACTGTCACACAGACACACACACTCTCACACACAGACACACTGCACACAGACACACTGCACACAGACACATACACACTCTCACACACAGACACACTGCACACATACACACTGCACACAGACACATACACACTCTCACACACAGACACACTGCACACAGACACACTGCACACAGACACACTGTCACACAGACACGCTGCACACACACACAGACACACAGACACACTGCACTAAGACACACTGCACACAGACACACTGCACTAAGACACACTGCACTAAGACACACTGCACACAGACACACTGCACACAGACACACTGCACACAGAAACACTGCACGCATAAACACTGCACATTGACACACTGCACACAGACACACTGCACACAGACACATTAGACACACAGACACACTGCACACAGACACATTAGACACACAGACACACAGACACACAGACACACAGACACACTGCACACAGACACACTGCACACAGACACACTGCACACAGACACATACACACTCTCACACACAGACACACTGCACACAGACACACAGACACACCGCACACAGACACACTGCACACACACAGACACACTGCACACACACTGCACACAGATACACTGCACACAGACACACTGCACACAGACACACTGCACACACACACGGCACACAGACGCACTGCACACAGACACACTGCACACACACACAGACACACTGCACACACACACAGACACACTGCACACACACAGCACACAGACACACTGCACTCAGATACAGTAGACACAAAGACACACTGCACACACACACACTGCACACAGACACATTAGACACACACAACGCACACAGACACACTGCACACAGACACACTACACACAGACACACTGCAGTATTACACACAGACACACTACACTATTACACACAGACACACCGCACACAGACACACTGCACACAGATACAGTAGACACACTGCACACAGATACAGTAGACACACAGACACACTGCACACACACACAGACACACTGCACACAGACACACACAACGCACACAGACACACTGCACACAGACACACTACACACAGGCACACTGCCGTATTACACACAGACACACTACACTATTACACACAGACACTATATCATTACACACAGACACACTACTGTAGACTGTTACACATAGACACGCAAAGTCAAAGATCCGCCGTGTAGCCTTAACAGACTGGGGCAAGTGCTGTTAGCGAGCACCTGTGAAGGCCGGCACGGCACACGAGGAGGGGGGTGGCCACGCCCGGCCGCCTTTGTCTCCCCAGTGGCACCAGGTACTCATCTGAGGCTGAGTCGCGTGTACACACACACCACGCTGTGGACAAGCAGGAATCGAACTCAGGTAGCAGGGTGCGTAGCGAAGTGCGCTAACCGCTACACCTTCACAAATACAAAGACAACCCGTATAGCCTTTAACAGGCTGTTGGGGCAAGTGCTCTTACTGAACAGCACCTTGAGGGCTGGAACAGGCACCACTCCCGGCCGCCTGTGTCTCTTCGTACAGCAGGACTGGTTTAGATATCCGCCACTGTTTTATTGATCGTGAGCGGGAATCAAACTCGGATTTGTAGCTGTAGTGCGCTGATCACTTAAGTGCGCTAAGCACTGCGCCACCGCTCCTCAAGCACACACATGCGCAAACACATGCAAGACACATTTTCACTTAAGTACGTGCATATACATAAACACTGTATACACACATACGCAGACAAAGATCCCCATATAGCCTTTTAACAGACTATTATGTACATATACACACAAATATATACATAGACACATATATACGCATACATAGCCGCGCGTATTCGACGTAGAGACACAGACACGCACATACAACATGCAAATAACCCCCGTGTAGCCTACAAGGAGTGTTGGGACAAGTGCTGTTAGCGATCGCCTATGAAGGACTGCACACGTGGAGGTGGCGTGGCCAACACCACGCCCGGCCGCCTTTGTCTCCCCGGGTGTGACGTGGAACCACATCGTACAAAGATCCCCCGTGTAGCCTTAACAGACTGTTGGGGGCAAGTGCTGTTAGCGAAGCACCTACGAAGGCCGGCACGGCACACGAAGGGGGTGGGCGGCCAGCACCACGCCCGGCCGCCTTTGTCTCCACCAGCGGCGATGTTCTTTTTACGCACCGCACCGCGTATTCATTTGAGGCTGAGTCGACCTAGGTGGGGGGGGGGGTGTGCTCAGGACCGGTTCCGACAATCGTCACCGGTGCTGACCTTGAGCGGGGACTCGAACTCTGGTGGCCGGGGTGTCGCTGCGATGCGCTCACCGCTGCACCACCACCGCTGCACCACCACCGCTCCCCAGCGCGCACGGCGCGCGCACCCAAAACCGGTTCTGCTAAGCGTGGCGTGAAGAGGCCGTGGGGCGAACGCGTTTTTCGGCGAGCACGCGACACACCTCTCTCCTTCGGCGTAATGCTCGGGTACAGTGCCAAGTGGCACAACCACCACTCTCCCCCCCCCCACCCCGCACCCCGCGTGGGTCATCTGAGAGGCGCGCGAACGGGGAGCGCGCAGCGGCTGCAGATTTCGCGGACACCGCAACGCCAGCGATTCGTAGTGAACCGGTCACTGGGACTCTCTGTCTACCAGGTCCGCGGAGATTCATCGATACTGGGGAGACAAAGGCGGCCAGGCGTGGTGTTGGTTAACCCCCCTCCCCCCCCACCCCTCGTTTGCCCTCCCCGGGCCTTTAATAGGTGCTCGCTAACAGCACTTGCCCCGATAATCTGTTGAAAGCTATATGCGGGATCTTTGTATTTGGGTGTTTTTGTTTGCATGGATTACGCATGCAACAAGGAATTATCCATTATTAATAGACGACGTTTCGTGGCAATGGCCCTGCAGGTCACATAGGTCGCTGCTGCTGCATGTGTGCTTTGAAGAAGGGCCATGGTCCGAAACGTCGCCAATTTTTTCATTTTACCCTTGAAGGCCACGGTGATGTTATTTTTGAGTTTTTTTTATAATTCAACGTTGCCAACGCAGCAGAAACAGCGTCAGATGATGATGGCGATGAGTTTACAGCTGATGGCACGCGATAAGCCGAATCCCACCGCTGCATCTCCTCGACCGAAGAGCCCCTTAACTCGAATCTCAGCACGTGATCGCACGTGCACATGCGTGTTTAAAACATGCGTCGTTTTTTTCACGTGATGATAGAGAGCGGTGGCGCAACGGTTAGCGCGCACCGTGCTTGTATGACCAGGGCTACTGGGTCCTCATCGAGTGCATGCCACAAGTGTCGTGTCAATAATCTCAGACGGTTCCTAGGCCCCCTGCCTTGCGCGAGTGTCTTAGCGTGGTTAGCAGCAGCACTGGGGGATACAAAGACGGCCGGGCGTGGGGGCGGCCCTACCAACACAACAGAATTGTCCCTCTTGATAAGTAGGCGCTCGCGGACAGCACCGGGCGTGCGACTACAATAACGACGATCATTTAAACCCCCCCTTCCGCCTCCTCTTGATTTGAAGCTTTCGTGACTGTAGGAATGCATACTCTTTGGTTCTATCGGTAAAGCCATCACGTAGTAGGTAGAGAAAAATAAATAAAACAAGTCGCGACGTTTCGGTCGTCGTCAGGCGTGAACATCGCGGCTAAAATTTCACTCAATTGGGAGAAATGCCGAGGCTAAGGGCCTCGATGGCCATGCTTCATCACGGCCGTTGGGTGCCGGTGGGTGAGCGCGGAGCGCGAGTGTTGGGTTTTCGCGACACCACTGCTCTCCCGTTACGCACAACAATATCAAGATTCTTCTCGCAGACATCGGTGAAACGTATAAGAAGAGAAAACATTAATGTCCCCCACACTGGCAGCATGACCCTGCATGGATTCCTGCCTGCCTGGCTGGGTGAACGCCTCCCAGGTGCGCGTGGGCGGCGATGACGTCACCGCGCACATTTGCGCGGTGACGTCATCGCCGCCGTGTTCCAGCGTGCTGACGTCACGCCAACCCCCCCCCATCAGGGAGAGGGTGAAAGGGCATGCAGTTGAGAGGAGAGATAAGGAACGTGACCGTCCGGTGGAGAGAGGATCCCGGGGAAAGAGGCAAAGAGAGATCGAGGGGGCAATGGAGAGTTGGGAATGCGGAGAGCGAGGCGAGAGAGAGACAGAGAGAGAGACAGAGAGGGAGAGACAGAGAGAGACACAGTGAGAGAGACACAGTGAGAGAGACACACGGAGAGAGACAGAGACAGACAGAGAGACAGACACAGAGAGACACACAGAGATAAACACACACACAGAGAGACACAGAGACAGAGAGACAGACACACACAGAGACACAGAGAGAGACAGACAGAGAGAGACACAGAGAGAGAGGGACACACACGGAGAGAGACAGACAGAGAGACAGACACAGAGAGAGACACACAGAGAGACACACAGAGAGACACAGAGAGAGAGACAGAGAGAGAGAGAGACACACACGGAGAGAGAGACAGACACAGAGAGAGACACAGAGAGACACAGAGAGAGACACACACACGGAGAGAGACACACAGAGAGAGACAGAGACAGACACGGAGAGAGACACAGAGAGAGAGACACAGAGAGAGAGAGACGGAGAGAGAGATAGAGACACAGAGAGAGAGTCACAGAGTCACAGAGAGAGACACAGAGGACAGAGTGGGTGAGGTGCAGTGGAGGGAGGAGAAGAGGGTCGAGGAGGAGAGAGACAAAGGGACACGTGGCCCACAATGCATTGGGACACGTGGTACAGGGAAGACGATGGGAAGGTGGAGAGAGAGAGCGAGAGATGGGTGCTCTGTATGATGAGACAAGTTTTGCTGGCTGGATGGCGAGATGGCACGAACGGTGAGGTTTTCGTCACCTCGCTCGTGTGTCTCTACCGTGACAGTCTGCACAGGCAGCTTCCCTAGCGACCAATCGTGTTGGTTGCGTCGGCTCCTGAGGATTTTGAGATTGTTTTGTTGTTGTTGTTTTACTTCCACATACGACACGATGAATATTTCACCTTTAAGCAATCCGCCAAGCAAGCCCTACCCATTTAGTGAGGCTCCTCGAGTCTGTTGGTGAGCGAGATTTATAACACCCAGCACCACGCTGACCAACATCATCATCGATGTGTGGTTTCACAAATTGTGTATTGTAATTAATGTGTCTAACAAATTGTGCATTGTAATTAATGTGCGGTTTCACATATTGTGCATTGTAATTAATGTGTGGTTTCACATATTGTGTATTGTAATTAATGTGTCTCACAAATTGTATATTGTAATAAATGCGTGGTTTCACAAATTGTGTATTGTCACCAATGTGTGGTTTCACAAATTGTGTATTGTAACGTGTGATTTCACAAATTGTGTATTGTCACCAATGTGTGGTTTCACATGTTCTGTATTGTAATCAATGTCTCACAAATTGTGTATTGTTATTAATGTGTGGTTTCACAAATTGTGTATTGTAATTAATGTGTGGTTTCACATGTTCTGTATTGTAATCAATGTCTCACAAATTGTGCATTGTAATTAATGCGTGGTTTCACAAATTGTGTATTGTAATTAATGTGTGGTTTCACAAATGGTGTATTGGAATTAATGTGTGGTTTCACAAATTGTGTATTGTCACCAATGTGTGGTTTCACATGTTCTGTATTGTAATGAATGTGTCACACAAATTGTGTATTGTAATAAATGTGTGGTTTCACATATTGTGTATTGTAATTAATGTGTGGTTTTCACAAATTGTGTATTGTAATTAATGTGTGGTTTCACAAATGGTGCATTGTAAGTAATTTGTGGTTTCACAAATTGTGTATTGTAATTAATGTGTGGTTTCACAAATTGTGTATTGTAATTAATGTGTGGTTTCACAAATTGTGTATTGTAATTAATGTGTGGTTTCACAAATTGTGTATTGTAATTAATGTACGGTGTTACAAATTGTGTAATGTAATTAATGTACGGTGTCGCATTGTGTATTGTCATCAAAGTGTGGTTTTACACACTTTGATGACAATGCGTAGCTTCACAAATTGTGTATTCTCATTAAGCCACCCACACCAACCATAGCGCGTGTGTGTACACGTGTGTGCGTTTACACGCGTGTGTATGTGTGCACGTTTGTGTATGTGTGCACGTTTGTGTGCACGTGTGTGTGTGTGCACGCGTACACCCACGTCATGATCAGTTTGGTCTAAATTTTCAGATCTTTGAAGGAATAATTTCGGATAACGTTTTGTTGTGGTTGGGATTTTCGTGATGTTTCCATCAAGCACTCGCCTAACGTGTCTTGGCGTGCTGACCCTTGACACGAACATTGAACGTCCCTCTCCGCCGTAGATGTATTTTTTGTTGTTTGTGGGAAACATATTTCACTCCGGGATTTCTTTTACGCAAAATTGGCAACAGATTCTACCCCCCCCCCCCCCCAGACAGAGAGCCCCCAACGAAAGCTTCGTGCGCATGATGTTCATAGCTTGTCATAGTTGCAGTACACGTACCAAAGTTTCCGGATACATGATGTTCTACTTCGTACGTAATACATTTTTTCTTTATTTTTAAAGTGGTTTCTTGGAAATATTGTGTGAGACAACAAAAACGATTATGCACATCTGGGATGTGTGGTTCGTGAGCTGTGGGGTGAGTTTAGTACTTGTGAGATGTTGGGTGAGTTTAGTACTGGTTCTGGTGAGATGTGTGGTGAGTTTAGTACTGGTTCTGGTGAGATGTGTGGTGAGTTTAGTACTGGTTCTGGTGATATGTGTGGTGAGTTTAGTACTGGTTCTGGTGAGATGTTGGGTGAGTTTAGTACTGGTTCTGGTGAGATGTGTGGTGAGTTTAGTACTGGTTCTGGTGAGATTTGTGGTGAGTTTAGTATTGGTTCTGGTGAAATGTGTGGTGAGTTTAGTACTGGTTCTGGTGAGATTTGTGGTGAGTTTAGTACTGGTTCTGGTGAGATGTGTGGTAAGTTTAGTACTGGTTCTAGTGAGATGTTGGGTGAGTTTAGTACTGGTTCTAGTGAGATGTGTGGTGAGTTTAGTACTGGTTTTGGTGAGATGTGTGGTGAGTTTAGTATTGGTTCTGGTGAGCTGTGGGGTGAGTTTAGTACTGGTGCTGGTGAGATGTTTGGTGAGGTTTAGTACTGGTGCTGGTGAGCTGTGTGGTGAGTTTAGTATTGGTTCTAGTGAGATGTTGGGTGAGTTTAGTACTGGTTCTGGTGAGCTGTGTGGTGAGTTTAGTACTGGTTCTAGTGAGATGTGTGGTGAGTTTAGTATTGGTTCTGGTGAGATGTGTGGTGAGTTTAGTACTGGTTCTAGTGAGATGTTGGGTGAGTTTAGTACTGGTTCTAGTGAGATGTGTGGTGAGTTTAGTACTGGTTTTGGTGAGATGTGTGGTGAGTTTAGTATTGGTTCTGGTGAGCTGTGGGGTGAGTTTAGTACTGGTGCTGGTGAGATGTTTGAGGTTTAGTACTGGTGCTGGTGAGCTGTGTGGTGAGTTTAGTATTGGTTCTAGTGAGATGTTGGGTGAGTTTAGTACTGGTTCTGGTGAGCTATGTGGTGAGTTTAGTATTGTTGCTGGTGAGCTGTGTGGTGAGTTTAGTATTGTTGCTGGTGAGCTGTGGGGTGAGTTTAGTATCGGTGAGCTGTGGGGTGAGTTTAGTATTGGTGAGCTGTGGGGTGAGTTTAGTATTGTTGCTGGTGAGATGTGTGGTGAGTTTAGTATTGTTGCTGGTGAGCTGTGTGGTGAGTTTAGTATCGGTGAGATGTGGGGTGAGTTTAGTATTGTTGCTGGTGAGCCTCGGGGTGAGTTTAGTATTGGTGAGCTGCGGGGTGAGTTTAGTATTGGTGAGCTGCGGGGTGAGTTTAGTATTGGTGAGCTGTGTGGTGAGTTTAGTATCGGTGAGATGTGGGGTGAGTTTAGTATTGTTGCTGGTGAGCTGTGTGGTGAGTTTAGTATTGGTGAGCTGCGGGGTGAGTTTAGTATTGGTGAGCTGCGGGGTGAGTTTAGTATTGGTGAGCTGTGTGGTGAGTTTAGTATTGGTGAGCAGTGTGGTGAGTTCAGTACTGGTTCTGGTGAGCTGTGCGGTGAGCTTTCGGAGTTCATGGAAATCAGAGCCCCAAGAGTCCTCCCGCTAGCGTCCGCTCGCCTGGCGCCGTTCAGCAACCTAGCCTGGCACCGACGGGCGCCCGCGGTCCCCTCGGTGGCGGCGAGACTCGGCCCGGCGGTCTCGCCGGGTTCTTTTTGCCGCTTTCGCTGCCAGGCGTTTTGCGGCAGCGTTCAACGCTGCGGGGGCATATGGGTCCCTCGTAGTGAAACTGTTATCTTCGTTACTTTACCGGTGAAGTGCCACACTGAGCGACCCTGGCTATCACAAACGACGGAGTGGCTCGGCATCATCATCATCATCACGTGGACATTTACAGCAGCAGCCAACCACTCTGAACGCGTGGTGACGCTGATTCTGAATGTGCAGGGGGAGAGAGACAGAGAGAGGGAGAGAGAGGCAGACTCCAAATATACAGCAGCAGCAGGCGTCAGGGTCGGGATCGAACCCACGACCTCCTGTGTACCAGGCGAGGTAGTCAACATCTCCTAGCCGACGTCGTTCGCCAAAGTGCCAGCGGCATCGGCGGCGGCGCTTTGCCGCGTGGCCACAACGTCACGGTGAAGATATTAAAAATAAATAAAAAAACACACATTTGGAAATTGACTCTGCAGAAGTAATTAATCGATTATTCGATTGATTATTTATTCGTTTATATATATGTAAATCCGCGTCGCGGCTTTGCCGAGCGGTGGCAGGCTGTGCGCCCGTCTGCGAAACGTGTAGCGCCTTCCGTCGTGCGAAACGTCGTCCAGTAAGGACGAGACAAGCACCCACTGTGCTCAATGATCGTGAAGTTTTATTGTTTATTTGACATCGTCGTCGTCGTCGTCTTTGTCGTCTCCATCCTCATCCCGACCTCGCTGCCGTGTCGAGCAGTGCACGCACAATCGGCAGCGAGCTTTGGTGCGCGTGTGAACGCCAGCACTGGTGGGGAGGAGGGAGACAAAGGCGGCCGGGCATATTAAGGCCAGGACTGCACACGAGGTGGATGCTCGTTTGTATGTACGTTGAATTTCTTTCGCACCGTGCATAGCCAACCGTGCTAATCGGAGGTGGTAGGGCCCAGTCGGAGGTGGTAGGTCCCAGTCGGAGGTGGTAGGTCCCAGGAGGTAGTGGAAGGTCCCAAGAGGTGGTGAAAGGTCCCAGTCGAAGTTGGTAGGTCCCTGGAGGTGGTGGAAGGTCCCAGGAGGTGGTCGAAGGTCCCAGGAGGTGGTGGAAGGTCCCAGTCGGTGGTGGAAGGTCCCAGGAGGTGGTGGAAGGTCCCTGGAGGTGGTTGAAGGTCCCAGGAGGTGGTTGACGATCCCAGGAGGTAGTGGAAGGTCCCAGTCGGTGGTGGAAGGTCCCAGAAGGTGGTGGAAGGTCCCAGGAGGTGGTTGACGATCCCAGGAGATGGTTGACGATCCCAGGAGGTGGTTGAAGATCCCAGGAGGTGGTTGAAGGTCTCAGGAGGTGGTGGAAGGTCCCAGCAGGTGGTGGAAGGTTCCGTGCAACTGAATGCGCTTAAAATCGTTCCGAATCTTACTCATTTTTCTGCAATAACAGAAACAGCGTGTTATTGTGTTTTGGTCTTTGGTGTTTGCTCCATTGGTCATCGCAAGGCCACCGCCGATGCGCACGGACGACGAAGGCGCCGCCTTGCACAGCTTCATAGTCGGCAAGCGTAGTTGGGGGGGGGGGGGGGCGATGTTTCCGTCGCCGCGTGCTCTTACCCGAACGAGTAAACCGGCGGCGCTGTTGTTTCCCGG